TCACATCTACAGTTATCAGGGATATCAGCTTATAATTTTCTTTACTTATAATGTCTTCATCTGGTTTTGGTTTCAGGGTAATACTGATCCAATATGATGAGTTGGAAAATGTTAATTCTCCTCTACTTTCTAAAGTTTTTGTAGAATTAGTATTATTTCTTCCTTAAATATTGATAGAATGCCCCAGTGAAGCCTCTAGACCCGTAATTTTCTTTCAGGGAAGATTTTAAATTACAAATTCAATATCTTTAATCAGTATAGGGCTGTTTGTGCATTCTAATTCTTCTTTACTCAGTTTTGGTAACTTATGCTATTTCAAGGAGATCTTCCATTTTACCTAAGTTGTCAAATTTTCGAAGTAAAAGTCATTAATAACTCTTTATCATCTTTTTGACTCTAAAATAGTGGTGCCACCTCCTTTATTCCTACTAGTAATTTTTGTCTTCTATTTCTCTTGATCAGTCTATCCAAAGATTTACCAATTATATTGATTATTTCAATGAATCACCTTTTGTTCTCATTGATTTTTGTTTGCATATGCTCTGGTTTAGGAATTGCCGAACATTTTCTGTAAAGGGCCAGATAGTGGATATTTTAGGTTTTGTGATCCACCTATGGTTTCTGTTGTGTAGTCTCTGTTTTATTCTTTTTTTCTTTTCTTTTTGTTTGGTTTGTGTGTTTTATAACTCGTTAAAAATGTAAAAATGAATCTTAGTTTAAGGCCTGTATGGGAACAGGCCACTAGCCAGGTTTGGCCTATAGTCTGATCCCTGTTCTAGTTCATTGATTTGTGCTCTTCCATTTATTACTTATATCTTCCTACTTATTTTGGGGTATCATTTGCTCATATCTTTCTACCTTCATAAGATGGAAACTTAAATAATTGATTTTACACATTCCTTCTTTTCTAATCATTTAAAATTATAAATTTTATTCTAAGCTCTGGTCTAGTGACATCCCCAATACCCACACACACAATGAGTCCTGACTTTCCACTGAAGGCTCTCCCACACTGAATATATTTGTATGATTTCTTACTGGTTAGAATTTCGGTTGTACAAAGAGGTGTGACTTCTGCATGAAGGCTCTGATGTGTTCATTAGATGTTCTGTTCAGATGAATTCCTTTTCCCGGCACATTGTTCCATTCATAATCTATCTCCTCAATTCTGACATATTGTATTTTCATTCAATATTATCTAAACATTTTTTAATTTCTCTTGTGACTCATCTCTACCTAGGCTAACAAATGGAAATTCAGTTTTCTCCACCTTTTCAGAAAAAATTCCATGGTGTGCCTCTTTCCCATCCTACCCACTCACATTTACATAATGCCATTTTGTTCTGTTATACTCTAAGAATGTCCAAAATAGGGTAGATTAAACTGTGAAGTGTGTAACTGTGATAACTTGAAGTTGAAATAAACATAATACCTAAGCATTTGTGTGACCAGCAGCATATAAAACTTTAAGTAAACATTAACATCTCAATAGCAAGCATGTTAACATTTTAATTATTTAATTTCCAAACCATTTAAAACCACATTTTCAGAATTACTAGGGTAGTTCCACTTGTTTCAACTTTTAACTCTGCCTAAAAACTCCAAAATATGTTTATATATAGCATAATGTTTCAGAGTCCTTAGATATGAGTCATGGTATCTTGTGTAATCTCTTAAATTCCAGTTGTTTAAGGAGACTAGTACCTAATTAATTAGTACCCAAGAAATATCTATTAGTAATACTACTGAAGTAGAAAGGCAGTAATATTAAGTATCCTTTTAAAGAGTATACAAGTAAATAGGCTCAGATAACAACATATTAGGAGGCAAGTTAAAAAAAAAAACCTGGGGGGCGCCTGGAGGCTCAGTCAGTTGAACATCGACTCTGGATTTTGGCTCAGGTCATGATCTCAGGGTCGTGGGATCAAGGCCCGCGTCGGGCTCCACACTCAGTGCAGAGTCTGCTTGTCCCTCTCCTTCTGCTCCTCCCCCCACTCCTCCCCCTACTCATGCTCTCTCTCAAAATAAGTAACATCCTTAAAAAAAAAACAAAACACTAAAATTTCCTACTTATCTTATGTTAATGGCAATACTAGCTACGTATAAGAAACCATTAAATAGAAGGCAAAACATTGAAAATAGAGATATTGAATCTCCTAAGCACCTGAGACTTGAAATGACTATAGAAGGGGCAAAGCCTTCTTCTTCCTGAAGTCATGCACAGAATTAATGGGATGATAGGAAGGATAAGGGCGAGAAAAACAATGAATTCTAATTATGGAAGGCTCTCTGAAAATATTACATAGTTTCATATGAGGCCTGACAGGCAAACTAGATCTGAAAGAAGTTCTAATAGACAGGAATTCCACAAATTATTGGCTGCACAAGCGGTATTATCATATAGTTTCCAAGATGACAACAATGAAGGCAAGATACACATTAATAGTTTAGTTTCTGACGTGTTTAGAAAATGAATGTCCTACATTTACATAACAGCTAAATATTTATCTTCAAAAGTGACTTAAAAAATGACTAATAAAAGAATTACATGACTGCAATTCACTATTTAGTTTAAAATTATTATTTGTGGGGTGCCTGGGGAGCTAAGTCGGTTAAGTGTCCCTTTTTGATTTTGGCTTGGGTCATGATCTCAGGGTCATGAGATCAAACCCCACATTGGGCTCCACGCTCAGCACAGAGTCTGCTCGAGATTCTCTTTCCCTCGCCCTCTGCCCCTCCCCCGGCTCACACTCACTCTCTAAATAAAATCTTAAAAAAATAAATTATTTGAAAGTTAAGATTTACAGTGAAAATCATGGCTGCTGTTGACCGTTTTCAATTTTAAAACATTTTTAATTTAAAATCTAAGAAAAAATGTTTGATTAAAAATTTAGGATCAAGGGGCGCCTGGGTGGCTCAGTCGTTAAGCGTCTGCCTTCAGCTCAGGTCATGATCCCAGGGTCCTGGGATCGAGCCCCGCATCAGGCTCCCTG